AAAAATGTTAAACCGTTTACTTTTTTCGCAATGCAGGAATAAATCTTTGTATTAATCAAGAATGGAATTTATGTGTTTCTTTATTGAATTTATTTATTTAATGACTTGTAATAGCATTTTACAATAACAGAAATACTTTACAAATGAAATATTTCCTACATAGGATGTTGTGTTATTTAAACATGAAGTCAAACAGACAGGATTGCAACTCAGTGTCGGCGATTTACTCTGGATATTTTCATTTTCATCGAATCCTCTTTCATGAAAATCCATGTTAAGGGCTTCCCACTTAAAACTCTTATGTACTGAAATGAAATATTAAAATGATTAAAGTATTCACGTTTTGTAGATCTATCCTCAGCTGTTTTGTACATATCACAGCATGTATCACCATAGATAAAACATGTTGCTTAGTCTATGGTATCACCTATCAAAATTAGTTATAATTTATCTCTAATACGTAACAGTAAAAACTACTTTAATCGATTATTATTTGCGACAATGACATCCAATATTGAAAAGTCAACACTGATATATTCACATGTGTGGACAAGGTTATACTAAACTGCTATTGTAAAGGAAACGGTGTAGAACATTTCCCCTCCCGGACTAAAAAAAGGTGTCATTATCCGTAGTCAGGGACTGCTATTTCATCAAGCGTTAAGGCATTGTTAACATTGTTGATAGTTGGGGGTGAAAATGGAGGTGCTATTAACACCATCTCGCCATTTCAAGTTTTACATTGACGCTGTAGCTTGTAAATCCGTCTAAAGAAGAAAAAGTGTGTAATAAATAGTATAGTTGTTTATATTTTGATGATAAGATACAGTGAGGTTGGTGAGTCTTTTGTACAGTGTTTTGTCAATTCCCACATTTTTTTAGTCTGCAGATTTTCTTGGTTTTGTATCATTGGTGTTTCTTGCTTTTATAGCTACCACGAACCCTACACAAGAGAATTTGACAGAAGGTGACTTAAAACTAGAACTGATACAGTCACATTCCATATCACAGGGATCATGCAGCTAAAACGTAGCTTTGTTTTTGATATAAAAATTTAGGATAAAAGCCTCTCACTAACAAAATCCCACGTTTCCAGAATGACAATGGACAACATTACTGAGGTTCGGTTTTGATCTAAATTGTTACTTTCAACTTGATTTAATATTGAGACTTTATCAAGTCTTAAAGTAATGAGATCAGGAATTTGATCCGATTCCATTCAAAGTAGTACAAAAAATAACTAATCATACAATTTTAACAAAAATTGTACGACATTTGGTAGTAGATATCATGTTTTTAAATAATTCTAAAAAATCCTTGTTAGTAATAAAAAATTATGTAATTCGACTTAAAACTGTGGGCAATGATAGCATGTAGTTGTAACTCTTACTTTGGAATAACCAAAAGAGTTTTAAACACAAAGAGAACGGAGGATAAATCTTACAGTCGAATAAAATATGAAATCAATCATTTGAAAATTTGAATACTCGACAGGAAGACGTCTTCAGGCTGTATACGCATTTCCATATTTCACGATTTCCTCTTTCCTATCAGACCATCCTCTTCATCTAAACCCTTCCCTTATTTAAACTCTTTCTTTAAAGATTCAACTAACTTAGTGTTACTGAAATCATAGAAATCCTCGAAATACCTTAAATTATAAAGAATATTGAATATTAAAATAAGAGATATGTATAAAACAAAGTAGTATATATATTTTTAGACAGGCATTGATGTAAGTACTTCTTGGTAAATTATCCAAACAAATGCATGTACACTTTTAATAAATGTAAATGAAAATGTTTCATTACCTTTTAATCCCACCAGCAACACGATTTGACATTATTAGGTATATCATTAGCCTGAAGATCGAGTAAACAACATTGTAAGTTATAAAATACATATTTGAAAACATGTTCTATAATAGTCTTAAACTATTAAAAATAATTTAACACATTTAAACTTTGTGTTCACCCATTAAGCATGTCAAATACTGTATTCCAGAGAAAATTTAATGTACCCCCCTTGATTAAATGTGAATTTAGCCTCAGTGAACATTTCGAATGAATATGTGTATGCATCTGTTTAGTTCTGTGCTTTCATTCGATTGTTATGCTATTGACACACGAATTGTTGTCAGCCGTTTGAAATATGGTTTCAAATAAACACCAGAAAATACTTTTAAACGAACTCCCTAACTTTATAAACAATATTCATTACGTTACAAAAATAAACTAGTTGATCTTCCTTTAAATAAAATTACTATCAAAGTTGAATCACTATCAAAGTTAATATTTTCATAGATATAAGCATATTAGTAAAAAAATCTATCATCATATCTCTCACATGGGAAAGAATATATCCAATCTAAGTTAACTTTGACACAAATGGAACGTATGACGAGGTGGGGATTTAGGGGTGTCAGGAGGGAAATCGCAATCATGCTATGTACTTGCACTTAGTACCTGGGTATTGCATAGTATTCATTATTCAGCTGCTGCCATTGACTCATTGTCAAGACCCTGAGTGCAGCCCCAACACTCGGTTAAAGTTGTGTTTTTACCACATGTAAGATGAAATAAATAAATTTGCCAAATTGTTTACAATACTCATAAACAAGCAAACTGCAACAATTTCCTTTTTCTCCATAAGAATAACATGTTTATTTTAGATGTATAGTTTTATGGAATGTTTTACGTATCGTTTATTCGCAAAAAAATACTTAAATATACTTTAACTCTACATGATGGATAAATAATTTTTGAAAAATCTTAAGCCCCTTTAACTCATTCCAGGTTATGCCACCCTAACGCTTTATATACATTTTAACGAATAGTGTCTTTCCTCAGGTTACGTCAAAATGAAAAATTAAGACTAGTTAGATGTAGTTGGATGTTTGTCTGTTTGTTCTTATATCCTCTACTATGGGCTTTCTTCCTTATTCTTTCTTGCTCCTCTCTATGGGTCTTCAGCTTTGACGTATACACATTTCAAGAAAATATAATTAGCAAATTCCTTAAAGGGAAATTCACAAAAGGCTGCTTTACGAGATTGACTTTAAAGCAAATCAAAATGAATCTCAACGAAATTTGACATTGTAAGTATACAAATAACGTTTTAAATATACGACACAGTTGTATTGTAGCAAAGCACTTTTCGGAGGAAAATGCAAGAAGTTCAAAGGAAACAGCAAAAGCGATTGTAGAAGGGTTGTATTGAGGGCAATCACTTTAAGTACTTGCTTTTAAACGGGCCAATGCTTTACTGTCGAGGGTTTAGCAAAATGCTGTACATGTATAGGATGAATAGAATGGTAAAATATCAATACAGAAAAATTCTCAATATAATCAACATTTTAATCCATTTGTTAAGTATAATCCGTTACTTACAAGATTCTAAAATTTTAATTCATGATAACCATAGGCCATAGACCATAGGTCCAAACCTATGGATCTTATAGGGGATTAATAACACATAATTTTAGTTTTTTTCTCATTAAAAGAGATTGATGGCTTCTGGCTTCTTTAACCTTTGATCAGGCTTGGGTGTCGAATATGCCAAAGAAACAAGGGGCGGGCCGGTACAGTAAAAAATTAAACATACTGATTTGAAATGACGACACCGGTAATTTAATTTAACCCACAACTATACCACTGTGGTTTTGACGTCTGTCGCACTACCCAAGATAAATCATTGAACATTCAGGAACATGCTCAGCAACGAACAACGGAGAGAAAAATTGGTGAAAAATCAACAAGATGGTAAAGCCAGTGCATAACGGATACTCGGAGACAAGAAGTAAAACAACAATAATTAATTGAATTTCAAAATTGTTCTAATGGATTTTGTTAGTATGCATTGATGTGGTAGGTTTTAAGAGCATATGGGGAGTAAATAGTTGGGAGAAGAATGAAATGGAGCATCAACAAACCATCAACACTTTCTACTCTCGTTTTAAAAAGCTGTAAAATAAAAGTGACTAGAATATTTCATACAAAAAAAAATAATTAGTAACTATCACATTTTCTTGAGAAAATTTTACATATACCCCCAGGGAGGAGCGTGAAGAATGAGGAAGAAATAACGTGTAAGGATATAAGAACAAACAGACAGACATCTGAAGTGAGAACAGAAAAACAGGAAACGAAGATGGGAAAGATAGAATAAAATACGAAAGCTGTGTCAACAGGATACAGACAGATCATCGACACAGTCCCACTGGTATATAGCTGAGTGGTAAACGAAGGGCCTTATTTTTTATCTAAGTGTTGATAATGTATAACTATAACTATGTGTAAGTGTTGATAATGTATCTAACTTTTGCCTGTTTAAATAAATAATATTTCATTTCATTTCATAATGTGTGACGTTATATCACCTAATCCCTCGTGTGATGTCAAATGTCGTTACGGTTTTAATAAAGAAATAAACACGAAAAAATATTACTGACGAAACTCTAAGGCGAATAGGTTAGACATTTAGGGTGTAGCTTGAAGATCAGATTTTCATAGTTACCTAATTTGTAATAAAAGAATACGCAATAATTGAAATAAGCTGTTCACCACACTATACCCTATTACTGTACCACTATTCACCTCAATAATAATACACACTAATAGTCAACACAACTACAACTAGGTTATCTGGAGAAAAAATTTGAGGAATCAGCAAAAATTATAATAAATAGTTGCTAGGCAGCGGTGACATTAAAAAAATTCTATTGATACTGATTGTTTATTTAATATGCATTAATGTTTTAAGAAAGTAAGCGGGCAGCTGATTTTCGGACCTAGGGATGTAAAGACCTGCTCGGTCCCCAATGACGATGACAACTGGCATAGACAGCAATACGTCGATTTCGGCCTCGAATAAACGTTTGTAAAACGGCTAAAAGCATCGTAGTGTGGTGAAAAAGACAACTTAGCACATAAAACGACGCTAAAGAAGGTAGTAACTAAAAATGCCGAAACCTATAGTAGAATATGTCATATGGAACCTACCTGGACCAGTTCCCCATGATTGTGTCCGTTGGCAGTGAATGTAAGATGACACAGGAAGGGTAGTCGACCCTCCTGAGGTTTGTGTAGATGCAGCTGGTAAGTCTTGCCTACATCGCCGTAGTAGGTTCTATTACACACTGTAACACAACCAACACATAAATTACACAGTGAATATATGATGAAATAAAATGGCATTTTTCAAAGACAGCCTTGATACATGTTTTAGTAAAGTAGTCTTGAAGGTGTGTCTTGTAGGTTATTTGCGTTATCAAGGTTCCAAGCTATCACCGTTTTAAGGTATGATTCGAACCAACGGGTTTTTTACGTAATCAAAAGATATTGGTCATATGCGGGTTTTAGATCCGTAAGTTCAAAAAAGCATTCCAAATCTCTAATTAGTTGACAAGTCATTCTGTTAAGTATTAATATAAAACAATTGAATTTTCTACATAAATTAAATAGTCAAGCTCTTCTTGAAAATGTCATCCAAAGTTCAAAAGAGAAAATAATTAATTTGATTATACAGTTTCTAAATTAGAGATAAAACTCCCAAGTAATTTGCATGATTTTAATTAAAGTAAGTCTTTAGGCTGTTTTCCTTTTGCAAAAACGTTTTGTAAAGAGAGAATATAACAAGTGTTTCAAAGGAAATCCCCAATTCGATGATGTAATTAAGCTTTATTTTGAGTTTAAATGCTATAACCTCAAACCAGTTTTTTTAATCTTTCACAATTCCGTGAAATATGTGTATTTTACATTTTTGGCATTTTCGAATGAAAAAAATGAATAAAACTATGCCTGAAAATATGAGTTAGTTTTTTATTACTAAAATGTAGTGTTATCGTCACATTTTCCTAAAAATCGTCCATTAATTTAAGTTTTATTTCATGTTTGATATTTTCGATCGTTCTAGTTAGTTTGAAAATAAAGTTTTAGTTTTACACTAATGGCTATCATTTTTCTGGTATTTTATCATCAGTATTATCATTTGGTATATATATTTTAGAAATAGAGTTTTGGGTTGACAATAAAGAACGTCACTTTATCGCTGCTAATTTCTCTGCGAATATAACATTGCAATCTATTCAAGTGTCTTGCTTTTACAAAGGAGGAGGTGTAATGCAGAATATGTGTATAAGAAAATGAAGAATACATAACACGAGTTAAATTAGAAACTAAAAATCTCTCCATTAATTAGTAGTTAGATAATTGACAACAATAAATATGAAAATTTTAGCAATAAAGTATATAATCTGATGTCGATTAAACTGTTAATTGCTACTCTAAAATCAGCCCTCTCGTCGATCACAGCCTGTTCTAATTACAGGGAAAACTAACACTCAGTTTGCTTGAAGGACAAACTTCAACTCAACAATGTATTTCTAAAACCAAATAATTTAAACTACCTTACAAAAGTAATTTGCTATATAAGTTGCATAACTATTTTCGAGTTATTTTTTTCGTTAGGTTGATTAATTTACAACTTTTTATACATACTATGGATTCTTTTCCACCTAATTCTCAAGTTTTTATTGTTTTAATAACAGCTTGTTTGTCAAACAAACATGCTTTAAAAAATAAAACCATTTTTAAAATTTATTATTTTTAATTATACCTTTCCAAGTTGTAAAAACTGTAACAAATTTTTTGAATTTAAATTATTTAACATAAGATTTACAGTGCGCTACAGTACATCAAGTTATTTTATGGCTGCAAGCATCCATTAATACTATCTTGGCAACAGTTATGCTTCAGGAACCCCAAACTTTGGAGTCTTGCCTACTTCTACTGTATTAAATCTCAATGTTTGAATCCACTATTATAATATTATGATTTAAGATTATGTCTCTGGGTTTTGTAACAAAAATTCAAACTATTTAATTTAAGCTGAACAAGTTGTAACAGTGAATTTAAGTAAGCAAATAATTGAATAACTTATTAATCAGCATTGTACATGTTATCTTTAGTCAATGGTGCTATTATATTTTTAGAAAGTAAATAAAGATACGCCTCATAACACATGAAAATGTTAAAACCTCTAACGACTAAGTCCTTTTCAAGTGTTAAAAGACGTATTTTTTTACTTTCTGCAAATCGGTTGAAGCAAAAAGGCAAAATATTTATTGTGCTTGTAAGTGTTCACCAAACTACTGTAAATAACGAATATCTGACATTAATATAACACATTAATAATAGCGCAAGGTGGAAAAATATAATGGTACAAAGCTAACACCACAGAATTAATTTTTAAAATAAAGCCATTTTATATTGACTCCTTACAGTATTGATGAACTTTTAAAAAGAAAAGTCTGTAAAACTCTAATACTTTAACCTTTAATTATTTTATCGTTAGTTTTTTACTATTGTAAACACTTGTATTGACACTTTTCATGCGGATTACTTTTTTTTACAAGGAAGGACATTTTGATTCGATTAATTTTCCTCAAAAGTGCACGGGAGCTCTGTGTACCCATCAGATAACCATATGCTGTAGATGTTTTTTTTAGCTTTACCCATTCTTTGATTAAACTGCGCCATTATAAAGAAAACAAGAGGAAATAACCATTTGAAAATCTGGAACGTCGAGGAGCGTTCTCACCAAGTTTATAGGGTTATTAACTGCTAGCTCTAGATCTTTAATTAGCATCTCTGTATTAATTTAACACTGAATAATGCATCTAGAGCTCTACATTCTACCAACATTTTTAGTTATAAATTAATCATTTAAACACCTTCATTCCGATATTGATAATGTTCAGAGTTTTTTTCTGAATGTAACTCCTCTAATAGATAAAATTACTTTAAAAACGGTTGTGTAAGTTTTGACTTATAAAATAAAATAAAACATAACAATTAATTTGAGATCCATGATTGAATAATTAAAAGGAAGACTACAAAAGCAACCACTTAAAAATCAATTACTGTTGGAAACATGTTTAAAATAGAGCCGATGTATTGTTATTCATCACAATTCACAGTAAAGTAGTTTGTCTAAATCCAACTACTTTAGGATATTCGTAGCAGAACACTCGATATGACCTCAAGCATACAATTACAATTAAAAAACTGATGGTTCAGGCCTGCACAGTAGTTTTTAACAGACTTATTAGATATAGCAGTTTATTTAAACGTTTGTAGTTAACTTTGGAGTATTACGGTTTAATCTAATAATTTGATAACTTAACAATAATGAAGCGTTTCTTTTGTAAAAATTAGTAACTAGCTGTTATCCACGGGCTTCAACACGTTTGACTTCATAAGTAAAACTATTGATTGGTTAAGTTAAGCTAAAATTAACAAAACAGATTACAGCATTACAAACAAATAATCACGCCAGATTTTAATAAGGTAATAAATTGAAAGAATAACATACAAATAAGAACAGCTGAGGTATTTTTAACATTAAGTATATGGAAAGTTCCCTTTGGAAAGCAATTATGACCTTAAAGGGCAATTTATGAACAAATGGATATTGGATAATGGATTTGAGCAAAGCTTTCTCGTCATGACGAACATTTTAAGTATATGGCTTATGGGGGTGTGTCTTGTGGTTTTCTCAAAAGTTCATGGGTACTTTTGGCTGTATATATAGGTATTCGTATTATAAGTCGCAACCCTAGGAAATCTTTTTTATATGTTTGGTCATAAATTTAAATGTTAGCCGCCATATTGGAAAATGGCATTCATATAACAAAGGTCTTCACATTATAGCTTCCATGAAAATAGTTAAAGTGTCTAATTTGCAGATTTTTCGTATCATTGATTCTGAGGTACAAAATATTTTTTTTCTGTATATAATATTTTGTATTGTATTGTAATATTTAAGACGTTCAAAATATATACGAGTTTCGTGTTTTATACGCTCCAAAGGTGTTTTCAGCAAAATAAAGTTATTAAAGAGAACAGATTTTGATCAAATTTAAAACGTAACAATTTTTTTCGAAATCGTGAAAAAAGTGGTTAATTTTAGATGATTGTTAGGTTTAATTTCGAAATCCTGCAAAAGCCCCACCCCTTCATCATCTTAGTCAAACAAATTTCACAGAGTTTACGCGACAACGACCCTACAGTAATTAGTGCACAGCGAATTCAATCTCAACAAACTTTACCGTCATTTGCATACTTTTACACCTCAAGACCTTTTGAGAAAATTTACATATTTGTTTTGAAAACGCTTATTATCGCTGAAACCTGTTTGACACAATTCAAAATACGTTTAAGAAACACACAATGGTAGTTGACATATTTAAATAAGAAACTGTACTTAGAAAGTCCAACCAATACATTTGTGTATAGCAAGTAAGTAATAACCAGTGATGGGTTTTCCAATTGTGAAGTATAATGGTTGGTTGAAAATACAAACATTTAGTAAAGAAGCATACATCTAAATAAATAGTAACGTAAGAAATATAGGGAAATAATAGATAATTGTCCCTTGGGGTATTTGATCTTTTAATACTTTTAATTAAAATAGCGACGATACAAAGTAGGTATTTTAAGCCAAGAATGAATGGAGATGAGTGTAGGATGAGTTGCGCGATCTTGTAGTCTTGTTAGTGGCTAAGGCCGACATATTCCTTAGACACAGCTGTTAATTAATAGCCCATACAGCTAATGGCAACTAAGGGACCTACAGTTTATAGTGGAATCCGAACCACATTTTTCCTTGGTATTAACGAATTGGTCTAATTATTAGGATAGTACTGAGGATAGTCGTAGTAATCACTAGTGCGGACGTTAATCCACACCAGTGTCGCATCCACAGCGCATTCCTATAAATATCAGCAGTTGTCGGAGACATTCTCAAATCTATAACTAATAGTGTAATTGATTAATGTATTTATTCCCACCACATCACTTTTTAAAAGTGTTATTTGTAGAAACAATAAATAATAAAACATTATTCTTTACTCACTTAGTTGTGGATTGGATGGGTAATTTCAAATTCCACAAACGTTTTGAAACCTTAGTCTTAAACGCTGATTTATATTACTTTTTTTGAGATTTAAACCCCGCGTCCAATATTGCAGAGGTATTACCGCCCACATACATCATCGTGCTCTACATTTAGTACAAATAAAGCCAGGAACACGTTACTCCTTATAAAAGGAAGTGGTCCCAAGAAACGGCTTCTAAA